GTCACTCGTGCTCGAAAATATGACACATTACAGACATTTTTATTAAACTTCATTGGTTACCAGTTGTACAAAGAATCAATTTCAAATTACTTTTACTAGTGTATAAATCTTTGTATGGTTTTGCCCCCAATTATCTATGTGAATTAATCGAATTTTATGTACCGAGTCGTAGTTTAAGATCTGAATCGAAGTTTCCTATTAAAACTCGTCAGATGTGTAGTAAAAAGTCCAAGGTGTTATACAAAGACCGTGCTTTTGAAAATTTAGGTCCTAAACTTTTTAATGAATTACGGTACCTCTGTCTATTCGTTCTAGTCCTTCAGTAGACATTTTTAAATCCAGACTGAAAACGCACTTTAATTTAAATGTGCTTTTAATATTTGACTGATTGTTTATTGTATCAGCGCCTTTGATCATCATATGTTGGAATTGTTGCGCTTAATTAAATAAAGTTATTATTATTATTATTATTATTTGTGAAATCAATTTTTTCCTGATTATGAAGAAATTGCGGAAAGGGGGGACGTTAGTTTACTTTTATTGACATATGGTATAACCAACTTGAAAACATCTCTGTGTCAGATTTCATTTGATATATTTTTATTGCTTATTAAGATTACCAATAGATGTTTATGATGATAGTGAGAGTTCTGAGGAAGAGATGGAAGTCAGTACAACATCATCCACCACAACTACTGCTATAGCTTCACAATTACCAGCAGGTGAGTAGTCAAGACATATAACAGGCACGTTGTATTTTCAATCCCTTTTCAGAAGAAGTCTGAAAACAAGGACTATTGATTTAGGTTCTGTTCATCAATGTGTCTGTCTCCATCCATGTACTAGAGCCATTTCACGGACAAGCTTTGATCAAGAAAGTTTATAGTGACTCACATTTGCACTCCGATTATCTTTGTCATTTGGTCAAATTTTTAAATAGTTAAATGTGTCCAGAATCATTTCACGGAGATGAACATGCCTGGTTTAAACTTCACACCATACATCACACATAAGGTCATGATATTTGGATTTCAGTTACTCATTGAATTCAAACTTGGTCCATACAATGAACGTCATGGACCTGAGGGCATGTAATTTTGTTTCCTTATTGGATTCATAATCTCCTGTTTTATTACTTTTTTTAAAGATTTTTTTGATAACTCAATATCGTCCACATCTACAACTGAAGAACCATCATCAGCAAATGAATCAGCAAGGTTAGTTATCAGTCTACATAATCTTCTAATATGGATATCAAATTATCTAGTAAAATCAGGCAAGCTTTTTAAAATTAACATATCAAAAATGCTGTGAACCTCCTATAAAAGGAAAGATAATTATTAGTTTTAACAAGGCCTTATAGATTGACCTCCATGTTTGCAATCATTCACATTCAAACTTGGGAGACAGGTGCACAAACTTTCATAAATTCAAAATCAAGCAGTTTTGGCTGAAACAAGATCTTGACAATGGATGGCTGCATTTTGTTCAAACTTGGTACATCAATGAATAATTTATTCAGTATTCAATTGTTTATAATTTGGAATATTTTTATGAAGTGCAAATGCATCTTTATTTACATGTCTCACTTTTCAGTGTCCACAATTTGCACAACAAAAATGTAAAAATTTAATGAATATTTATAATTTTTTTTTACAGTAAAGATTCAAAGTCGAATACTGCCGAGGCTTTACCAGAAGGATTCTTTGACGACCCAGTGATGGATGCAAAGGTGAACATTACTTGACTGAATTAATTGCGCATATTCTGAACAAAAAACAAATTGTTCTGATTGATTTAAATATAGTCTTGAAAATGAGAGTAATTAAGTTCTGAAAGCAGAAAAGAATAGTTTTCTTGAGTTGTTTTAATTAACCCAGTATTGATACTAACTAACTATATTATATATAGAGACAAATGTTTCACTTCTGCAGAATACTTTATTGTGAAAGACGGTTATTAGCTAGAACCCACTGAAACACTTTTTATCTCTGGTTAATACACTGCCCTCTAGTGGTGAAACACTTTTATGTTGTAAATGGTTGATCTGTAGTTTTCCATCAATGAAGATTATGTTTTTGAGAAATTTTACTTTACTCTAGATGACAAACAACACACTACCTTCACCCATATATGTTGCTTTTAACGGTAACGTCACAGAAGTGCTTTGTCACTAGAAGACATGACTAAAGGCATAGGAAAAGTTTATTTTTAAATTATATAATTTATGACAAATAAAAGTTTTCAGTGAAATTGAACTCGAATTGACCGTATATATACCATAACTGGCTGCAAATTTTTCACCCATAGTTATAACTTTTTTATATTTGGATCAAATCAAGTTTGATGTCATATATACAATGTATGTAAGCACTGTGTATAAAATAATATATATCCCTGATATTTTAATAAAAAGTCCAGGAATAATATGTAATGTACCTAGGCAAAGTAGAATACAATACCAGGTACAATTTAGACAGATAAGTGAGATTCCCCATCATTACAAATTGTTAAAAATTATTATACAAAATATTGTAATGTAAAAGATCCTAAAATTTATATGAACCTCCCTCCCAATCACATCTCAGTTGTGGATGTAATAATAAATTGATTTTTTCAACTTGTTGTATTTTTATGAATGCAGAAAATAGTTTTGAATAATTATTTATTTTAACATTAACACTGTATCAGTCTCATCAGTTTATGAACTTATTCCAGATCTTCTGAGCTTAACAGTTTTTACTTGTAGGTTAGAAAGGTTGAAGTAAAGGATCCTATGATGGAAGAATGGGATAAATTTAAGAAAAGCATAGCTGAGGAAACAACGGTGAGAAAAATACAAATCTATTTCTATCTACAAGTTGTCACACTTGTTTGCGATGTACATAAATGTGCATGTACAGTGACTGGTAGAAAACAGTGTTTTGCTTCCAAAGATAAAATAGGGGTGTTTTTATTGCTGTTACTGTTATTAATTTGAACCTGATTTGTGGCTTATTGAATAGTGTGTGTGCCAGTCATCAGGGAGATGGACGGTTTGACTTCTGTGATTGACTGCACACTCAGAAAAGAGTATGGTACTTATTGCTAAATTGCCAGGCTTGTGGGATTCAGAGTTTGGGAATATGGTGTGGAGTCTGTGTGCTATGCTATGCTGTTCTGTTTGGTTTGGGTCTTTGAAAAGTAAACACACAAATTTCAGACCTTTGACAGAATGGGAGACTGATTATCCAGGTATGGGTGTAATAATGTAAAGCTCTTCACTGGATATATGTCACTATATAAATGTCTATATATTATTGTTAGTCATCGTTCGGGTGAAGTTAGAAAACCAGTCCAGGAACTTCTGTTTTGACCTATGAGCATGTATGCATGTGTTTATCTTCATCTGTATTTTGGACAAGTCAGGACCAATCACATTCAAACTTCGGACATACATCATGCATCTTGAGATACATATTGCATCTATTTGTTTCTCAATCAAATTTAAGATGGCCGATTGGTGGGCATTTTAAAATCAAGCATTTCTGACATTCAGGAACTGATCTCAGTCATGTATGGACGAATTTCATTCAAACTTCATACAAACATTTTGAAATTCATTTTGAATTAAAAATGATAAAAAATCATCAAAATCAACCATTTCTGGAATTTTAGATTTGGGTCTCTGACTTGTTCAAACATTATATATTTTTGAAACTTGACAACTCAATGGGGCTATGTAATATGGTACAATTTCTTGTTTTTTTAGGTATCGGAAGCAATCCAAGAAGAAGAAGATGATGAACGTCAAAGAGAACGGCAAATAGTGGAGCTAGATGAACAAATGTAAGATTTAGATTTGATGGGCCTTATTTGAATTGTAAAAAATAATGTTGACCAAACATGCTTTAAAAATTAGAAAATTCCATTAAAGCTGCAATAGTGCTACAAGTGAAAAAATGGATAAAATTGACCAATGGGATAATAAAAACAACAGAAATAGTAAAATGAGTGAAACGTTTTCAATGCAATCGTCAATGAGTGATTGTATCTGAATGTCTTACTCATTTTAGCTCCGCTGTCATCGTGAATGACATAGTGGAGCTGTCCATAAAGGTGATTGACTTCTTTGAAACTACTAGCTCAATTGCTTTGATATTTGGTGGACCTCTGTAAGATTTGTTCATTTGATGACAATATCTTTAATTCTCTATTTTGGGCGAATATTTTTTTCATTTTTGATAAAACACTCCCAACACAACCAACGTGATTGCTTAGATATTTGGCGTGTACATTATTTTTGTGAACAACTTGTTCTCGACTTGGCTACCACAATGTTTTTGTGGGACAGTGGAGCTATTTAGACCGTCATGTTGCTTGTTATCATTACTGGTGTTTTTATTATCTTCATTTGTCGGTTTTATTCATGCTTTAAAGATGCTGTATGGTTGAAAATATTAATATTGTGTAAATGTCATTATGATTTATTGTAAAATGTTCCTTTTGCACTCAATAGTATTCATTTGACGAAAAAAATAATAAAAACCCAAACTGAACTGGCATTGGTTCATCTTGTATTTACGAATAGAATCAGAGCATGCGCATTGAAAACAACATTTTTTTCAATTTATTCATCAACAAATTATACAGTATTAAAAATGGTATATTCTTATCTGTATTGCTTCTATAATAAAAATTATAACTTCAAGTATTATGGTGTGAAAACAGTTTACAGTGAAAATTGTCTGCCTTACAATATAATGAATCCTGCATTGTGCCTGTACTATGATTGGAATTGTGTTACTTACTTGCAGTTATCCTATCTTGTATTGCCTCTTTCAGTGAACTATGAGGTAGCACCTCTTTCTCGATAATTTTCAGTCTTTTTCTCCTTACAGACATTTCCTACAGAAAGTTGAGACCTTGCGAGATAAAAAGGAAGAGATCTCAACAAAGGTGGCGGATGAAAAAAATTTGATCGAAATGGATAGAAGTAGTGATGATGAAGATGACTTCGAAGAGTTTCTTGATTGGAGGAGCAAAGAAGCATGGATGTAAATTGACTGTATACATAGAGGGCTGGTTGAACTATAGAATGCTTCCTTTCATCATAACAACTGTACCAATGATGATAGGAATTGAGGCAAGATGTGTTAAACCAACACTTTGCAGTCAAATAGAGTCAGTGGCATGACAGCGATGTTAAGACTTCTATGCTAACAGTATATCTCTTTAACAGTATATCTTCTACAGAACTATTGCTGACTACCCTTCTACAGTGTCAATAAAAACTTGTGCTCATGGGTTTGCCTCTCAGAGGAAATTGATCGAAGTGCCACTGTGTGTTTGCATTTACACAAATAATATACTTTAAACATGTTGGGTACATCCCATGGAACTCAATGTGGCATGGCAGCTGTGGTGCATTGTGCATCTGAAAAACTGTAACAAATACATGTATAAATGGCTTGTTACCATCAGAGTACTTGAAACGTGAATGAACTGTTTCTACATCACATCTTGTTTCTTTAGCATTGAGAGAGTGTATCCAAATAAAGATTATTCCTGTATCCCTGAATGCTTTATAAATAATCATTTATAGAATGAAATTGACTTGGGTTTTTCTCTGTTCTTGTGTGAATATTGCTGAATCTTTGTCGTAATGTGTGTTAAAAAAAATCCAACCTAGACCTGAAAGTTGAAAAAAAATGAGACCTTGAATCTTTCAAAATATAATTCCTAACTCTCGTGTTTATACATGGTTGAGGTCGTGGCGGCAGTAGGGGGTGGGGGTGGTGGAAGGGGTTCATGGATCTTACTCTTATATAAAGCGTAATGTTCCATGACAATGACAGGTTTTATAATAATTCCAGATAGTTATAGAATCTGTTTTATCATTTATTATCATTTTATTCAAAGCATTTTTGTATTGTGTGAATTTGTCATGCAAGCCTGAATGACTTAATAAAAAAAAATTTTTGAACAAAACAAATTGATTCGCTGACAAATGCATAAATTTAAAACCCAGCAAATATAATAAAAACAGTGAAATTAGCACTGTAAAAATATCATTACAATACATTACAATAAAAAGCCATTACTGTTGTAACTATTGAAACGACTGTTAAAATGTAAAAAAAATGAATCGTTTGGATGTCAGCGTAAAAGCCAGTCATCATTACAGGCTGCCATAATTCTCATAAAGTTGTGATGAACCCTGATCACAACACAGGTGTGTGAACCCTAACCCAAACAAAGTTTTATGAACCCTGATACCAACACAGGTGTACAAACCCCGATACCAACACAGGTGTACAAACCCCGATACCAACACAGGTGTACAAACCCCGATACCAACACAGGTGTACAAACCCCGATACCAACACAGGTGTACAAACCCCGATACCAACACAGGTGTACAAACCCCGATTCCAACACAGGTGTACAAACCCCGATACCAACACAGGTGTACAAACCCTGATACCAACACAGGTGTACAAACCCCGATACCAACACAGGTGTACAAACCCCGATACCAACACAGGTGTACAAACCCCGATTCCAACACAGTTGTATGATCCCTGATCCAAACACAGGTATTTGAACACTGATACTAACATAGGTATAAAAACCCTGCTTCCAACACAGGCTTATAAACGCTGACACTAACACTGGTGTCATAGAAACTCAAACTTAAGATCAATATTTGCTATGTCATATTACCAATTTACACACCCGTAAATGTGTATCTCAAATCTCCTTAAAAATTGTTCCATATGTTTAATGTTATCAAATACATTCACTGGGAGCCCAGTAGACACAAGTATGAAGTATTTATGTAATTATTCCAAAAAGTATGACAAATTAGAGATATTAGATGGGATTACAACAATACATTCAGAGAGTACAGTATGTTAAAATAGAACTACAACATTCAAAATGCAACGATTGTATCATAAAATCCAGTTTGGTGTTTATCTATAGATGTAGCTTACAGGTACTTAGAAACTAATAAACTATTCATAATTTTTATGGAAATTGCTGATTTGTTCAAATTACATTTGCATTGGAGCAGTCTTCAAGAAGTTGTTTTCTTTGAATTCAACACAATGTAATATGAAATGCATTTTTTTGCAGTCTTTTCTCTAAATCTCCTTACATGTTCAAAGGTGAATAAATAATATTATCATTACACTACTATAACATCAGAGAATACAGTATGGTAATTAAAACACAAGGATAACAACAGATAACTGAAATAGTGAGGTCAAAGGTCATCAAATCCTTGGTAAATTTATTCATGATTTCTGAAATAATGTTATACCAATATAGCTAAAGCATACTTATTGCTGGGAAAGGATTGACCAGCTTTTATGTTATTAGTGATTTGAAATATTTGGAAAATAGAATGTTTTATTTTACAGAAAATGAATTCTCAATTTGGGTTAATTATATATATTCCACATAATGCAATAGTTTTTGTCTTTCAATTACTGGTAATGTTCAAAGGTGGAAAACAAAAAATTGAAAACAATAAATAATTTTTTAAATCAATATAATGGCTCGGCTAATTCAATTATTATCATTTGAATGTTGTTCCTGTTAACAAAGTTAACAAACTATAAAAACATTTAAATTATACTGTATTAAGTAGCCAGTTCCGAGCCACGTCTTGACCTCTATTGACCTCTTGGAAAGAAACAACAAACTCCCACATTTTGACATTCAAAATGGCGGCGTCGGGTGGTAAACATGTGAAGATCCGATTTGTCGGTAACGAAGACGTCGTCGAACACCTAAAGGACACCGAGTTGGTTAGAAACTGTAAGCATTTTGAGAGTCAATGTTTGAATGACGACAATGTTGTACATTTTTTCTTGCCATCGTGTGGATTATTTTGAACTCTTTCCATTTCCCTAACAGTCCTTGTTTTAATTCTAAAAGATCTTAGACCTGTTATTTTGACACTTGAAATATGCAGATTTTGTTATTATCCACTACATGCTAGTAAAACGGAATCTGTCCAGGTCTTGAGCACCTTGACAATCGATCGTCATCCACCCGACCCTAAAATAACGCAAACGAACCAGGTTGGCACAACTTGGCGGATAACAGTTCTATGGTACATAACTGTGCTGTAGACACATTGGCTATCAACGATTTTTTCTGACATGAAAGGGAAGCAACTTTTTTTATGCTGTTCATTGAGTACCAGCAATAATATTGATCACCTATGAGGGCGCTGTTAAGTTCTAATGGCACTTAAATTTCAGATGGTTTGAGGCAGAGAAAGAATTCAGACAAAAGACAATCAATAATAATAGCACCCGTTCAAAAGAGAAATGGTGTTGGTAACAGCATCAACCAAGAGAGTGATGATGATAGTAGTGATAGTGAGATGGATGTGGACCCAATCTCTTCAAACAGTAAGTACAGATTATGTTAAAGCGTGGTGGTCGTCGTGTTCGAATTTCATGTAAATAAACAATGTATTTTACATGCGTTGTATATGTTGCTATGAGTCAAATATCAAACAGGACGCGGCACGATGACTGCCGCCCTTTAATGATCGTAGCAATAATCATAAAATGAATTAAGCTATAGATTACAATGAGATTAATTGACCTTAGACGCAATGACAGTTGAGAGCAATAGAGTCGCATGTTCCATTCTCACTTGTTGATTGCGTCTACTGTTGTACACTGATCGATCTATGCACCTATAAGATCAGAATATGTCGTTTGTATTGAGGAATAATTCTAAACTGATAAATGTTGTGATAGGTAGCCGGATACCCGGTATGTAAAATAAAAATTATTAAGTATTTTTCAAGTTTATGAGGTTATTATGAAAATACCTCAATGTACATGTATGCATAATATCATATGTGTTCCTGCACTGCCTGAGTGCATCCTTTGCGGTATTCTCATGATAACCTTACTATTCATATACCTCTATATCTTTTCCCTGTATGTAGTAATCATGAGATGAGAGAGATAACAGCCCGACATGTGATGTACAATTCCCAAATAAGCAGACATTCGAATAAATCCATAAGATTTTCAAACCAGTCCATACAGTGTTTCACAGACTAGTAAATTCTATTGTTTTTATCGTCAGATGGATTATAAAACTTGATATTATTTAAAAAAAACTATACATATTGGCTCTTGAAAGTTAAAAGTATTTGAACAACTATTTTTATGCAGTGACAAAATGTTGATTCATGTTACTGAAGAATTATTATTAAATAAATCTTTTTATTTCAAAATTGTATAATAAATAATTTGTAAGATAAGATATGAATTATCGTATATAGATGCCATTAATAACCTAATGTAAAATCATGTCTTTAATTAGCTCACTACTTGACCCTGTTTACTGACATCACAGATCCCAGTTGCATGATTTTGTATTTCTGATTAGATGAAAATTGATGAGGAACCTACCCAGTTAGTTGAATGTCCATCTTGGATGAGAATTGAATGTTATGCTGTTATTTCTGGCAGATTTGTGTATTTTCTGCAAAGCTCTTCCAGTGATCACTATGCCGTCACCATGAATTTCTCAATCTGCTGATGTTAGATCAAATCACTGTATCAATGAATTACTGTTTATTGAATGTATTCTTTTAATTCACATGCAAGAAAAACACAATTTTCATTTGTATTAATTCACACTCTGAAAAACAAAAATTATTACTACCATGAATCTATTGTGGTAGCTTCTACACTGTGTATATATATATAAATATATACATAATTTGTGTGAGTTACAGCGCCCTCAACAATTGACTTAGATGCAATTGGAGTATGATGTTGAGGGCGCTGTTAAACTCACACTGAGGTTTTGCTGGTTCCCTGCATCCCTTTGCGAATGGCCAGTAAGATGCCTTCGCTGGTTCCCAGCATCCCTTTGTGAATGGCCAGTAGGATGCCTTTACTGGTTCCCAGCATCCCTTTGTGAATGGCCAGTAGGATGCCTTTACTGGTTCCCAGCATCCCTTTGTGAATGGCCAGTAGGATGCCTTTACTGGTTCCCAGCATCCCTTTGTGAATGGCCAGTAGGATGCCTTTACTGGTTCCCAGCATCCCTTTGTGAATGGCCAGTAGGATGCCTTTACTGGTTCCCAGCATCCCTTTGTGAATGGCCAGTAGGATGCCTTTACTGGTTCCCAGCATCCCTTTGTGAATGGCCAGTAGGATGCCTTTACTGGTTCCCAGCATCCCTTTGTGAATGGCCAGTAGGATGCCTTTACTGGTTCCCAGCATCCCTTTGTGAATGGCCAGTAGGATGCCTTTACTGGTTCCCAGCATCCCTTTGCGAATGGCCAGTAGGATGCCTTTACTGGTTCCCAGCATCCCTTTGCGAATGGCCAGTAGGATGCAGGTAACTAGTAATCACCATATTGTTCCATTGGGCCGGGATTCCGACCCAAAGGCACGTTACTGAGTGACGTAATTTGAAAACATTCCAAGTTCTATTCTCCGTAAACTTGTCTGTAATACTACAATAACACAGTGTCCATTCAATCATTCTGCCTGCTTAGACTTCATAACATTTCTAACATTTCTTGCTGTTTTTTGTCCAAAGTGATAACAAACAAAACAGTTTTATATTCATGTAAAAGGAAACTATTGCCCTATGTATAGAATGACCATGAGTGTAAGCGCTAACATCAGGTAGTGAAAGGAAATAGAACAAAGAATGAGAACTGGACCAATCAGAATGCTAGAATCGTTACCAGCCTCTTGTGGCTTGGTGTGCCATGACACTTGAAGTGGGAATCAGCCAAACACTGTTGTATAACTGCCACTTTAAGTGCACCAATTATTGGGCTTTGAAAGTAGAGGAGGTGTGTGTATTGGGAATGGGGTTACAAATCACTGCATAAGCATGTTCAATCTAGTGTACTTTTATGGATGTGTTACAAATCAGGGGCTGGTATTTGCTTGGACAGGTAGATGTACAAATTGCATGTCCCTGTGGAGTGGTAAATGAATATATCAAGTTTTTACTAACTGACTAAATGGGGTAGTCCAAAGTTGCTACTATCCAGAAAACTGCCTTCAGAATTTTGATGTTGAGAGTCAGAAATTAAAATTTCATTTGTTTTGCTAGGTTCAAGTACATCAACAATTAGGACAGGTTTTTTATTCTCTAATCTTTCCAATGGACAGGAAATTTTAACCTCTGCAAATGGAACAATGCATTATGCATAAGTGTCTTGCAATGCTCTAATTATATTGTTATTGTTGATTTTGTTTAGTCTTGATCGGTGAACATGGCATTTCTGGAAGTGATGTGTATGCATTCCAGACTCCCAAGAGATCTGGCAAAATGGCCGAGTTAGCTGCTCTGTGTAAGACGCCCTCTAGTGTCAGAAAGACTCCAGGAAAAAAGTTACAAGGTAAGATACGAGAATGGGAAATTATTCACGCAGTTTTATTTTCATGTGGTTCGCGGAGGTGGCTCTCTGCGCTAAAATTAAAATGCATGAAAATTTCGTTGGGGGGATATTTATTTTAATTTCTCTGCTGGTGGCGCTGTATTTTTTATTACTGCTGATATACGCAACACACCACTCACATTTACGTCATTCAAGCAGTGAAAAACAAAGTATTCATTTAATGTTTTTATTTCATTGTTAAAAAAATGTAATTATAGTCAATAAATATTTTTTTTCCCAAATACATGTAGTAGTTAATAATACTTGTCTGAAATCTGACACCTCAGTATGACAGCATTGTATAAAAACAAGTTCAGACATTTTAGAACAACAGCAATATTTATGTGACTGTCAACTTGTTCCACATGTTTGTGAAGTGGCTTCAGTCGATCTGTAATGCCAGCAAGTTGGAAGCCCTGTGTACACAATTCACTGCGATTTTCAATAGACTGCTTGGCTTCAACTAACCATTTAGCATGAAGTGGTTTTGATTTCCGAAAGATGAAGATTGACTTTGACATCGGAAATATCAGCTCCCGTCTGTTCCTTCAAAATACACTGTCAGTCAGTGTACCACAATTGAAAGTTAGATTTCAGCGAGTCCTTGAAGGTTCGTTGACGGCAAGATCATGGAGTTGCAGTCGATCGGTACAACAGGCCAGAAGAAACTCAGTGGCGATGTTGTTTTCGTGTAGTTTTTTTCAAAAAATCTTCACATCGAATATTGCCAGGGCTTTTTGTTTTTTGGATAATCATAGCTTCTGGCGTGTCAATGTCACATACGGAATGATAACAGTGTCTGAATACCGATGCATTGTTTGCCGTATTTATTATTTGACAAAATGGTAGTGTGAACTGCAGTAATACATGTATTAGCGATAATCCTTAGACGTGTGTTGGCTAGTGGAAATGTAACACTCGTTTTTTTTAATGTGTGAATTAGTAACAGACATTAAATAATAAATATTCTTATTTGTTAAGATTCTGTTTTAAATTTATTTAAACACGTATAAATGAAAGGTTAACGTTGAAATAATTCATCTGCAAAGAGAATGCAAATAATAAAATGCATGAATTAGACAAAATTTGCTTTCACCCGAAAATTTCATTGCATGAAAATTTCCCGTCCTACAGTCTGCTAATAGACCATTTTCCTGGAAGTCCGAGGTGTTTTCCATTCATGTGCTCATACCGTTTTGGGATGTAACATATATTTGTACGCCTGATATTGTACTTCTGGATCTACCAATCGACGTCAGAAAAATAAAAATCCATTCTATTGAGTATCAACAAACTGAAATGTTTGTTTTCATTGTTGTAATTATTGCGTTACGGCAACAAATGTATAATGATAGACTTTATTTATACTTGATACTTTATTTAGACTTTGGCATCAGCCTTTCTACCAAAAAAGCAGGCAACTGGAAGTGCACCATTTTTAAAAGTTTTAGATTATTTAGATTTCTTGCGACACTTGCATTCGTATTATACTCATATGTTTGAATTTAGCTAATATACAATGTTAAAGATATTCTGTTACAAAGAATAAGAGATTGGTTTATGTCAAAATTCCCTTCAATTGGTAACTATGATGTGAATACAAGTACAATGAATGAAGCTTTGCCTAGTTGGATGAGTTGTGAAAAGTGCTATTGAATCTTTCTGTGCGTATAATGCAAATTGAAACATATTTGCACTACAAAATTAAACATTGATATGTTCACATGAATGTAGAACTTTAAACATAATTATGTTTCACTGGTTATTCAATTATTACAGCATCTGCTACACCATCTAGCAGTAAAAAAACACCAAAGCGAAAAACTGTCAGAATCGTGGAACCTGGAGAAGATGAAGAAGACACAGAACAATCAAGATCAGGCTTGAGACGATCCAGTAGAAGTGAGTTTCTCACCAAAATTTTCCATTTTTCATTCACATTTGTGTTTAATTTCTTCCATAATGCATCTGGTTGAGATCATTTTCATTGGTGACCCTTGACCTAATAGAAATTATGCATAAACGTCCTCTCAAACAGAAAACAAACATTTACCAATTCTACCTTAATTGTAAACTAAATGTGTGAGGTGCAGGTTTCATACTGATATGCATGATGACGAGTAGCAAAACATTTTTCATATTTTGGCTTAATTACAATCTGAGTTTTGTGTTCTTAGACATCTTCTCACTTCTAATTACTCGTCCCTTCTTTCTGATGTCAATCAGAAAACATTCAATATATTAAAGAACACTTAAAACTCCTTAGAAGAAATTAAAATGGTTACATAATAATATTTATAGCATTATAAAAAAATGTTAACTTGACCTTGGGCACAAAATAGAGAAAAACCTACAATCACACCAATACGTTATTAAGAATTGCAAAAAAAAAGGAACTTGAGTAACAAAATAAACAAAATGTAAAATAAAAAATGTTAAGTTGGGAGGTTAGAAGAAGGTTTGCTGAAGGAAACTGTTTTTAATAAATTTTGCCCGTGATATATACAAGATACTGCATGCACTAGTCTATAGTAAAAATAGGGGAATATTTTAATGATTTTGTATACAGTTAATGCAATTTTTCTTAATATGAACTCCTATTGGAAATATGTTTCTGATAGAACTAATACAGTAGCTTTGGTAAGTCTT